ATTTTGAGGTAAGGCGTCACCCAACTCTACTTTTTTCTGTGAGAGACACTCGAAACGTGCAAAAAAATTCATCGTTCATTCATAGGACAGGGAAAGCCAATTCTCCAACACGCCACTTTAGTGGCTCCACTTTCCTATCAATTCAATTGTCTCTCTGCACAGCCAGACCACCCAACCACCATCGCACTAGAGAGTCTCACACTTCTTTCCCATATTTGCCCTTACACATTTCACACCAACCTACAGTCTGCTCAGTGCAATATGGTAATTTGAAATGCTGCTGGGGGCTACTAAATTTGAATGATATCCTTTCCCCAACAAGAAAACAAAAAGTCAACTTGGGTTTCAGAACTCCTTTTTCTGGCACTCAAAAAAGGAAGCAGGCAGGGAAAGCAAGTCAGACGGGATTTTAAGGATCACTTGGTAAAGACTGAAAAAAGAGTGTTGAGCTCTAGACAATTAGGCTTTTTTAAATAAACCATATCAGAATTTAACATTACATGTGGCTGCACTGCATAATGCAAGAAAAACAGCTGCAAATTTTGACACTGCTGACATAGGAAATGTAGGGTGCCCACAAGATGTAATAACTTGCATGTCTGTACACACAGGAAATGTAGGGTTGTTGTGATCTGAATCGGTGGGGCCCACCCATGACATTTTTGTTTGCTGCCCGCCTGCATCCCCCATCCCACAATGGTCTACCAGTAAATTACTAAGTTACCTTCTTACTTGTATATGAAGCAGTTTCATCATGCATTGGATTCAGACTCAATAAGGTCTCTTCATCCCAACCGTTGGTTTTGTTGACTCATATCTCTGCATGTTGTAATTCCAATCAGTGGCTTGCTCTTGTCCATTGCGTGCCTCGGTTTCATCATCTGGGAAACAATGCTTCTGTTAGAGTCTTGGAGAAAATTTTCATTGCCAAAGAACCAAATAGAGTAAAAAAAATTGTTTAAAGAAAAAGGGTCTTAAAAGGAAATAATGAAGCCTTGCCTGAGACATTTGAAAGAGATAACTCGGTCAGGCGTCTAACGCAGTCCTTCAATGATTGAAGTTCAGTTTCTTTCTCTTGGAGTTTTGATTGAGCTGAGTGAAGTTCAGATTCCAGCTCCACAATTTGGCTTTCCTGCTGTTCGATGAGCACATGACATAGTTTCTGATCCAGTTGAGCTGGCAATACTCCATGGAACTGCTGAGTATCAACACCCTGTCCCTCTAGCTCAGGGACAATATCCTAAAATGGAAATGCATTTTTATTAGAAGGGAAAAGTCAGTGAGGCAGGCATAACATGAATTTCACCATTTAGGCATTTACAGTAGCATTTGCCATTTCATTTTGCGCCAAAGAAACAAACAAAATCACAATCCAAACATCTCATAGTGATCAGGTTACGATAAAGAGAGTAAGGTATATAACACAGTTTTGGTACATCAAGGGTGGTACTTAAAATCTTAGTGGAAATTGTACATTTGAAGATTTTGCAATCCAACTAGGATAAAGTTGTTTCTACTTGGTAAATAACTAGGATAAAGTTGTTGGTTCAGCATCCTTTATTAAGTAAGGGCATTTTAAAAACACTACTAAAAGCATGCGACATATGATCGGTAAGTGTTAGCTGTAGATTATAGCAACAGCATAATGGCACACCTCTTCAAGGTAAATCAACCTATTCAAGGAGAGTATAATGATGTTAAAAGACTGACCTCAGCCAGATTACTCAATCCCTCTTGGCGAGGAGCTTCCGTGATGCACCATGGAAGTTTTTGAAGTTCAGACTCAAGTTCTGCTTCCAATTGATCCATGTCCATAACTTCTGGCTCTGGCTCCTGCTCCTCCGTAAGAACACTACTTGCACATTCGCCATCAGATACAGGAAAACTGGAAATTCTCATATCATTGGGGCCTCTGTTTTCTGAACTTGACTTGTTTAGTCCTGGATGAGTAAGCTTGTAACTAGTTGTCTGATCGTTCATACTGTCTTCACTAGCAGAACCTGAAGCTTGCAGCTTTTGTGGTGATTTTCTTTTATGAAGCTCTGATTTTAATTCATGTACAATTCTTGCAGTCTCATCCATGGCTGTGTTCAGCTTATTGATCTCAGCTTTTCCAGCAGACATCATGTACATGATCCCAACATTAAGTCCCCAATTAAATAAGGAGGTATCTGAAGAGTATATACAAGATTAAATTGAAATGTTAAATTCCTAGCATCAGAAATAGTATGTTTGTGAATTATGACACTAAAATTAAAACAAGCGAACAAAATCCACACAGGTTCGAGCCCATGGAAAATCTTCTAGAAGACTACTACAAAAATGCTGACGGGTTAAAGTTGCAGTAACAAAGATCAAATGCACGTTTAGATTTCTGTTAGAATTTCAAGATCAACTTTAAAGATCTCTTGACAATTATGCTAAGCACTTAATCAATTGAATATGGAATTCACTTCTTCTTAAAGAATCATCTGTTAATACAACATTCTTCTTTATCCTTTCGGAACCACTTAGCACCATCAGTACCAATTCATACAAGACTGCCTGCCTGCAGAACTCAACCTACTGGAACTTGTGCAATATGCTTTTCTGAACATAACAAACAGTATTGCACATAACATACAACCAGCATCACCGTATTTTTGTAGGAAAGACTAACATGTTACAAAATATAGCCGGCAAGACCATAGCCCTATACTTAACTAGAATATCACCACAAGAGAGAGTTGGATATGTTTAATTAAATAGGGTCTGTGCCAAAGCAAAAAACCTATCAGGGTCCACCAAATCCTTTTCAAAAGCAATAAGATGTCAAATGAAAGATTCAAGGCTTAGCAAAGATATTCTATACTTGCAAGAGTTTATAAACTCGTCCAGAATATTCTACTTTTTCAAATGCTGGGTCATGGCTCATGATATGTGTTGTAAAGTAAAGCTTTTCAATATTTAAAAAATTGAACTTAAAAATACCAAGAACCTCGGCCCTACATCGTGGTGGACAATGATGTTGAAATGTTAAATTTAATTGGGAATATAATGCGACCAATAATTTAGCTCTTGAAGGCCTAATTAGATATAAGTTTCGGACCAAATTTACATGATTCAGCAATCAGGATCATAAAGATTGATCATTTTTATGTTCAACAGTAAAATCCTTTTTCCCTTTCCCTCATACGATAATCTCAGCAGCCAAACAGAAACGAAACGAGAGAGGGACAATTGAAAAACTAACCTGCGGAAGAAGACGATCCACATTTGGCATTGGCAGCAGCTACACTCTTCCCAGTCTTCCTCTTCTTCAAGCAAACACCAACTTTCCTAGCAGTCCTCCTCTGTTCAGCACCATTAGATCTCTCAGCCTCAACACCAACCCCTTTCTTCTTCTTCGACCGGGTCCCCTTCCTCAAGCGAAACCGGGTCCCACTCTCGCCCCGACCCTCGCTCGAAAACCTAAAGATCGTCCCTTCTGGTTGCTCCTCGCAGTCGCTGATCTCCCAGGGAGGCAGCTCAGACTGAAATGCGGAAGCGATGGAGAGATTAGGGTTAGTGTTTGGGTGGGGCTCCGCATTGTGATCGGCGGTGGGGTCGGAAGAAACGGGGGCGGGGTTGAAGTTGAAGATGGGATTTT